AGATCAGTTTTATCCATCTTTAACACATTAGGCATGATGGCTCTTCCCGCAAAACCTTTTTTTTGATCGAAAATGGCTGATTATGGCGTCACTCAATGTCATTTGTGGCCAACCTATCATAGGCTCTGGAACATTTTTTTTTTTTACACGAGGTGTAAAAGTGATGTAGGTACGAGACGGTACTGAAAGTTTGACACTCGGCGGCCGGCGCAGTAGTTTTAGAGATAATGCGAAAAGACTGGAGGGGTGGCCAAAAATACTCCCCCTCCACCATGGCGGGGGTTATTCTTATGCCGCAAATGGGGATACCTGTACCATTACAGATCCCAGTGATAGGCGAAATCAATACCTAAATAAAAATGTTTTATTGAATGTTTATTCCCTTACTTTGTCATGCCCCTGAGTAATATTTCATTTTAACTAACCAAAATGCCAAGATATGCGTAAGATTTTAAAATCTTGGATAGCATTCCTTTAGGCACCAAGTTTTCCGTCAACATTTGTCCCGGTTCTGCTAGCGAATATCGGGTGAATGTAACTATTAGCTCACCAAGTGGTTCGAGATTCCTCTGTAGCTCGGAAAGTAGCCGAATGGTAAGGTTACAGATTTCTCAAACTCTTGGCAATCGCGTCGCACGTACAGAGGTTGACACGAACCAGTGAGGGATGATGTAGATCTCGTCTCCAGAACATGCGTCAAATTCTGTCGTAATGCTGACGTGCTTAGCATCAATCCGAGAAGTTGCTCGATGAACTAAATAGTTAGGTATACGTATTAGCCGTTTTCACGACGGCCATCTGGTACACATTTGGTGCACATCTGGTGCAGATTAGGTGCAGATTTGGTCAAATTAGGTTCAGTGTGTCTCTTAGTAACTATCAGCTTGGGCTGCACTAATTACTTATATGTCTGCTTTTTCATATTATTAGAGAGCATCATCGATTAAAACACCGAAATAAATTCATAAAATAAAGATATTTTCTGCATAAAAGAGATTAGGTGCAGATCTGGTCAAATCAGGTGCACTCGCCGGATAGCCCGTCGTGAATTAGCCGTTTTCACGGCTATTAACGTTAAACGGCTATTAGCCGTTGTGAAAACGGCTATTAGCCGTTTTCACGACGGGCTATCCGGCGAATGCACCTGATTTAACCAAATCTGCACCTAATTTTATTTACAGCAAATATCTTCATTGTATGAATTTATTTCAGTGTTTTAACCGATGATGCTCTCTGATAATATGAAAAAACAGGCATATAAGCAATTATATAGTGCAACCCTAGCTGATAGCTGTTTAGAGACACACTGAACCTGATTTGACCAAATCTGCACCTAATCTGTACCAGATGTGCACCAAATGTGTACCAGATGGCCGTCGTCATAACGGCTATTATTAGCACAACGTACGAATGCACTCAATAGTTTCCAACTCAAGTCTGACTGACATGATGTAAAAGTCTGTCTTTAAGTAGCATTTAATTTCAATCTGGCGTTCTGAATTCTCACAGAGGTTGTGACCATTGTTTTTTTGGTTACAGCTTAAACATAACTATACCTGAAGCTCATTCCACTAAGGCAATGGTCGGAAACTTATGTGCGGGGCGGATGTAAGAGCGGTCAGCAGGCCAGATGAACCATACCCATCATAAACAGTTAAAGTTTACTATGCCGGCGCATCTATCACATATAATGTTTGGGAAACATGGCAGCATAATTATTAGATAATATAACTGTCATAGCTGAAATTCATCGCCCTAATTCAAGTGGTGAAACATAGGCACCCTATATACTCTATGCGTTCTCATGGAACCGCCTGTGTCGTTGGGCAAAGGCGATTGCTTTTGCCACCGCCGCAGACCCGTCGCCAATAACACAGTGTATATAAATAGCCAATAACCGCTGTCCGCTCTACCGACTCTGCACTGGAGCTTCACGAGACAGCATTTCATTCGCAACCATGGTGTAATGATAGGTGGCCACTGGCCACTGATGTTATACCTGACACACTTGTCATCTCCTCTTTCATTCAGCCACAGTCTCGTAAAATTCGATGCATTTATGTGCACAACAAATGCCTAAATATATCGGTCTCTCAGCGTAACACAATCAGTGGCAGCAGTTTTTAGCCCGATAACATTTTTTTCACATATATTGCAATTAGTAGGTACCCGCAATACAGGGGCAACAAAATACCTTCATTCTCACGAACATATGAGTAGCCATGTCCGGAGGTACGTACATACATAGGTAAGCATATGCATGCGCCACTATAAATAGCATGCGCCATGCGCCTAGTCAGCGTGTCAGTTCGTCGGCTGGCCGGCGCAGGTCCACTAAGCACCGCGCACCTACCGGGGTCGGGGGGGGGGAGGGGGTCAGGAGACGGAGGGGGGGGGGGCAGGGGCAGGGGCCCAGCGTTCTTGCCGACGCCGCCAGCAGTCAGGTGCCACACCGGTACCGAGTGAGTCACTAGTGCACCTGTGTTCGCGCTTACCCGGTTGGAGAAGGAACCAAGTAGAATAGCGATGATCGGTTGTCGGTAGTTCTTTTGGATCTCTAAATTGTTGATTTATTTATTTTTTGACGGAAAAAATCCTTGTTTAATTTTGACTCTTATGATGTCGCTTTTAGTAACAAATGTAATAAACGTTCTACCAATTGCTAGATTTAATTATATTTACTTTTACCACATCTCCGCCCAATTACATTTATGGTATATTTGCATCTTCGTGAGGTTTTACCCATTGCTGTGTTGTGGCCAGATGAGAGCCTGTAACAAGCCAATGGGATTCGAGGAGCCTTCTCAGCCGACCTTCACCTTCACTTCGTTCACTCTCCTCCGCTGGCGACTCCGCCATGGTGCGCACATGTCCCCCCGTATTTTGTCCCCAATATGACTGCGCCAATGAGGACAACGCCGAGAAACAAGTGAGTTTTACTTTAACTCTTTCGGAAATGCAACTCAATAGTATGTATGCAGATTCTACTTGCTTATGACGCGCCGTTCCAAACACACCATTCAGACGTTTCAAGGAGAGACCGATGCTCCCCTAATAAGTTGATGATTCAGACCCAATTCGTCCGAGTCTGTCTTTAGAAGGTTTATTCAGGGAGGCCACGACGGGGCTACAAAATGTTGTCACATTTATAAACACAGTGTCCGTATCTGCTGCGCAATTTGAGACACGGTATTAGTCGATTTCTACTGATACAAGTCAAGGGTACCGAAGGTTTGGTATATGAATCACATGAATCAGCCCACTGGCTAGTAAATTCATGGTGCATCATAGAGTCGGCGTTTTTATAGGGTCGTTAGGCATGTACTTAGCTGAAGCCGTCGGGTGGGCGCTGTATGCATTTAGTGTGACATACTGTTGTCAGTTGTGTCATTATTTTATTTTTTTTGTTAGCTATATTTGAATATTTTTGAATGGCCGTCCCTTGCCAGACCTGCTGAGGTGCTGGTGTTGCTGGTTAAAAGCTGTGTACTGCCTTCCTTATCGTCTGTGTCGAAACATGCCATTCATTCCTCTATCAGGTCACGAATTGCATGTTGATCAGTTTTTAATAGTGATCAATTCTGTCCAAAAACGTTAAAATGGGTAGCACTTGATCTTTTATGACCTATGACCTGACCTTACCTTCGAGTATGACCTTTACTATTATAAAGATGTCTAAAATAAAATACTACCTATTGTTATGATATATAACACTCTTTCTTAACCCTCGCCGGACCTATTGGTTTTCTACACACGCGCCGGCCGAGGGGGGGGGGGGGGGCGGGTACGACCCCCCCTCGCCGTTTCGCCCCTGGTGGAGCTAGCAGGTCGCGGAGAAAACGAGCGTGTGCGCCGTTACGAGACGCAGAGATTGGTACCCGATTTTAAGGTCCTAGGTCAACCGGTGACCTCTGAGGTCAGGTCAAGTGCCCCAAGGTACGGTTCAGTTTTTGGTGAATAACTTCGCAAAAAACGGCCGCAGCGCTGCGATTTTGGCAGCATCGTGTTCGCCTTGCTCAGGCGCGTCGAATGATATACTTTTTGTTCGGGTCAGGTCAACTTGGGGTGTTGACCTCAGGTCAAGGTCAGGTCAGCACCCCTAGGTCACAAAGTTGGTCGAAAAAGGTCATGTCGCATATCATTCGATTCGGCAGGTCTTCCTGAGTCCATTGGTGGCTTCCGCGACTCGCTAGCTCAATTTGATCAAGAGTTATTGACGAAAAACTAATATGACCTTGATGACGTCATAAATGACGTCACGCAAGGTCAACATTGCAAAAGTGACGCATCTAACCTTACAAGGAGTGCATCAAATCACGATTCTGTGTGCTTGAGATAGTTGGAGATCGTTTCCGGCGCCAGAATAGCAGTTTTCATTTTTCCCATTGACTTATAATGGTGAGGTCACGAAAATGACCTGACCTCATATGACCTTTAGGAAAAATCCGAGATATACAAGTTGTAAGACTCATAATGGATACTAGATCCTGCAAGTTTCATTTCCCTGTGACATCTCCTCTGGCAGTGAGGGCGTTGCGAAGTTGCGACATGTGAAGACCGTGCAGAGGTTCACTTATGACGTCATAGGTCAGTGACCTGACCTGACCCAAAAATGCGGTTGGTGTCAAAAGATCCGGCTTGGATCAAAGGTCAGGTATGCCAAGTTTCAGCTCTCTATCGCCAGCGTGTTCGGATATCGCGAAAAAACCCTATGGGGGGGGGCGGCACCCGCCCCCCCCCCTCGGCCGGCGAGGGTTAAACATTTTTACAGCTTGCCGCTACGTGGCTCAAATGCTGCTGGGGCATCAAAGTGACCTTCCCTTTCTCGTTATGTTCCACTCGGACCAATGCACCGCTTTGGTGTGGTTTTAACCCAAGAACAATGATAGAAAGCAGACAACAATACCCGCCTGTATTCCCCTAAGCCTGTCTTATCCCTGTGACTTGTCACACTGTGCAGCTGTGCACGGGTCGTGACTGGAATTCACCGCGCGTTTCAGCAAGATGAGAACGCAGAGCGCGGCAACTGGGGTGGCAAGTGGGACTACCTGCTCTCCCTGGCCGGCTATGCCATCGGAATCGGCAACGTCTGGCGCTTCCCCTATCTGTGCTACCGGAACGGAGGAGGTCAGTGACACAGATTACAGTCTGTCTGTAATCTGCATGTCTGTCTTCCTGTCTTATACTTATGACATGAAACTCTTTAGTTAGATTTTTATCAATTTTTAGAACTTATCTGACGTCCTTGTGCCTCCTTACAGGTGCGTTCCTCATACCGTACTTTTCGATGTTGCTCCTGTGCGGCATCCCGCTGTTCTTCATGGAAACATGCATCGGTCAGTTCTCCAGCTCCAGTTGCCTCACAGTCTTCAAGATCAGCCCCATTTTCAAAGGTAACATGCTGATAGATTTCGCTGTCGCACGTATTGCTGATAAGTTCAAGTTTTCCCCGTATTCACGCAAGTGTATCCAAGATTCAGTTGGACCCTATTCAATCAAAGTTGATTATTTCAACAACATTCAGTAACTTCCGTCAAAAACAGTTCTTATGTAGGCAAGTTCCGATTTTTTTCTCATAAATTTTTACTTTATCAGGATATTACAAAATAAATGCACTTCCACCGTAAGCTTGGTCACTCGCCATAAATCATTTCTCATCACTTGGCAGTGTGATGTTGCGTTCCATTTCCCACCGCAGCACTGGCCGTCTCTATATGTGATAACCGTTTCCACTATCGTACCTCAGGCGCCGGCTTCGCGTCGTGTCTGGTGACGTTCGTCGTCTCGGGCTACTACAACGTCATCATCTCGTACCCCATCTACTACATGTACCTGTCGTTGACGCCCCACCTGCCCTGGATGGACTGCAACAATACCTGGAACACCCCAAACTGTGATAACGTGAGTACCGGGCCGCCATGATGACATGTGCTGGTTTCTCAGTGATTTTGTCAATGCATTTAGTTTCGTTGAAGATGCAATGCAACAAGGCAAGAAAACCTTTCACGATGCTTCAGGTATAGCTGCCGTTTCGTTATTCGTTTCCGTTATGCGATTGAAGCAAGCAAATAAAAAATCCTAGGCTGGTTCGGCTTTTGCCAAGGTTCTTCGTTGGCACGTATTTGGTTTGGTATCGGTTTTCCAATTGTCTGTAATTATAGTAACATCGCATGACATCGGTAATCCCATTGGACTCGTGGACCTGACGTTGCGGCCTGCAGGTCTGACCGTTAGTTGTGGTTCTGAGTTGGCAGGCGTGTTATTTCAGGAGAGTCACCAATTTCAGTCGGTCTTTCTCGTTCTCATCCTCATGATTTTTTTTTTTTATTTATCATATAAATGCTTTGGAATACGATGAAAATGTTTGCCATTCGAGACCCTCTTCCAGCAAAAAGGTGGACTGATGAGTCAGGGAGACACCGGTTGGTCACGTGACTCGGAAACAAAAATCAGCTGATAGAGTGGCGGAATCGCCGTTATCAGACACGAATAATTCCGGACGATAGAGCGGCAGTATAGGAGTCTTCTTCACAACAGGCAAACATTGCCATGTTTATCATTCAATGATCAAGTAACGTTCATAAATTATATATTTCTTCGACGATTACCGCCGCAACCAACGCGCACATATCGTTACCAGCACATAAAGCTGTGCTTTGCGATATTATTTGTAAAGAAACGGCCAATACCTATGTACTAATTGTGAAACAAAGCTCGAAAACGATAGCATTCTATCTTGCTTCAGCCTTCTACTTACGCTTTTGTAATTACAACGACACCATACGGCCTATCGACAATATGCAACTCCGTGGAGCGTCCGGCCGCACTCTGCAGAGTGTGCCGAGATCGGTGGCGGACCATCCGCGGCCGTCCACCTGCGCTGCCCCGTGCCCGACCGCTGGATGGGCGACGCCGACGCCTAGCTCGTCTGGATACCATCCACTCAACGGTTACACAGATGCAAAAAGATGACTGGGCGGTGGCCGCCAGCTGCGCACACAACTAAGCTACTTGGCTACGCCCTCTCGGGGAGGGGAGGGAGGAGCAACAACCGTTAACAGTCTGAACTCTGATGAGCCAATGGAGTCTGTGAGCCGCGCCAATCAGCGCTGTTCCGCGCGTAGACGGGAGCTCTATTTTCGCTGGTCCGTCAGTCACCAGCATCGTTCCGTGCTCTCGCTCATAGCTATTCGGCCGTGTTTTCGTGTGTAGGTCAGCAAAAACAGTTGAGAGATTCTCGGATCGCGCCAGTCGGTCGCAAGGGTATCTATTGTCTATGTACTTTCCAGTATTGCAAACGTTATTGTTAGGAGCCGAGGGTAATCAGCAGTCGACGCATTTGTTCTGTTATAATAAAATTGAAAATAAAGCGAGGTATATTCACTTAAATTCACATATCACCTTTGATTTTTTGGCACGGACTACTTGCCCCTGCTACAGCACACAGCCGATCTCTATGTTTCTGTTCCAGAGCTGCAGTGGACATGGCAAAAATACACTTCCGTTCTGAAAACTTAATCCAAAAGTACACAGATTTCACGACGAACTACCACTTTCATACCATTTTCTTGCTCACAGGTGCTCAGCAATAAGCGCGCGACTGATTGCAGTTAGTGCACTCACGATTACTAGTTCGCGCTCGCCAAACCTGTCATTTACATCCACCGCCAATACCATCAACATCTGTCCAATTAAGTACCTATTACCATATCGAGCCAGAATGAGACCACGACATATTATCGTCCTATTACATAGCACAAATTCAGGGGGGGGGGGGGGGAAATCCGTAAAGATACCAAACTCCAATCACAGCCAACATCGTTTTGGGACGGGGAGTCGAAGCCGGGGCTCGTATCGACGTATCCTTCACATATCTGGGCGTCTCACTCCTTTCGACACTTAATCAACCCTGGCACACCATCCACCGGGCCAGGTCGGCTCCGACCATCTTGAGTTCCATACTGAGATCTGATAACTGACCGTCATTTGTTCCATCAGTCAGCGCGCACTATGCCTTAGCACAGCAAGTGCTATGCGGCCTTCTTTAGATACCGCCTCGGAGCAGGGCGCTGGTCCTGGGTGCCTGGCGCCTTTTGTTCGTGTACGGCTAGCAGCATTTTTGGGGTCCGATGGTTTCCGCAGTGGCGGCGCTGGTCACCGTGGAGCCGTCGGACGACACCGTCAGATGAAGCGCCCGCAACTGGTGACCTGTGACACAGCGAGTCGCGACACGTCAGGTCTCACGACGACCGTCCCGTTTCGGTCGCGACGGCCGTTATATAAACAGTCACGGCGGCCGTCACATACCAGGCACAGTGACCGTTACACACGAGCCAATGCGATCGTCAATTAGCAGTCACGCCGACGTCACAGGTTGCTACGGTCGTCAAATTTCCCCCACGGCGACGACAACTCATAGCTCATATCGTTTCCTGTCGCACACTTCGCCGTAATTGCAATACACTAGCCTGTTTATACGTTTATCACTCAAAAGTCGTAGCCCGAGTCTGAGACCCATCATACGTCACGATCCCTGCAACGGCACCTGCATTAGCAGGCATCCCGTCCCGGCAACACACAAAGTTCTCTCCACTCTCCAGCCACTCACCTAGGGACTTGGGGGGGGGGGGGGGGGCGAAGTAATCTTGGGGGTGGCATAGCCAGGACGTGTCGTCGAGCTGCCGTCGGCGGGCGTGCCACGAATGGCCGGCGGACCTCCGTCGGCTGGCGAGCCACCATCAGCCGGAGGGCCGTAGTCGGCCGACGGGCCGGTGTCGGTCGACGAGCCACCGTCGGCCGGCGGGCCGGTGTCGGCCGGCGGGCCGGTGTCGGCCGGCGGGCGGGCCACTGTTGGCCTTTGAGCCGGCGTCCGTCGGTTGGCCTCCGTCCGCTGGCGGGCAGTCTGCATAACAACAAATAGTTGAATTAGTTACTCTAGTGTTCACTGTTCAAGTTCATTGGTTACTCTTCATCAAAATTGTGTTTCTTTATAATCTTTAATGTAAAAAACTGAAGTTTCACCATTACTCTGGACACTGTGCTGAAATTTCAGCGCAATCCGCCTGTTACACCCGACATGTTGATGGTAACCTGGTTTATATGTGATATGTACCTACGACATTATATTTGCTCAATTAATTTTTCTCATCTGCACTGCTGAAAGTGTTTCACTTAAGACGTTGGTAACGATAAGGCAGACGTAGCACAAGCTTCTTCTTTCTTCTTCTTCGTGGATTAGGGCGCGTAGCCAATAACAGGTTCAAGATTGTAGGTTAATACGCATTCCCGCCCAAATGGCAGCTCGTGCTATGTTCGCCCAACCGATACCAAGAAGTCTTCCCTGTGAGACAAAAGATTTACAATCATTAATGAAGAATATACTTAATATGGTTTACAATTTACATAGCCTTGCTTGATACATTTTTTCATGGTCCTTTAGATCAGGTTGTAGGTAATTCGCATTCCCGCCCAAATGGCAGCTCATGCTATGTTCGCTTAACCGATACCAAGACGTCTTCCCTGTGAGACAAAACATTTATCACAATGTATATAAATAACATTTATAATCATTAATGAAGAATATACTTAATATGGTTTACAATTTACATAGCCTTGCTTGATACATTTTTTCATGGTTCTTTTTGTCTCAGACCTCACTGCTCTAGAGGCCAACTTGAGTAATTCCCAGCTATTTGAATATCACAGATATGAAGCTAAAACACAAAATCACCCAACCGGTCACTGATAATCTCCCACGATGAAAAAACAGGTTTTAAAATTACCTATGCATTAACTTCCGTTTCCCATCAACATAAACTAATATCAACAAAAACGTCAGAAAACATGTTGAAACTAAAAAGTGTTCTCTGTCAGCAAATAAAACGTCGCTTAGCCAATCGAATGCAACGTCGTGCGTCTGCTAGCGACAAACGTATATTAGCAGCATTTACAGTACGCAACTTGTGGCTGTAAATCATGGCCCGCAGGGTTCAACACCGAATTCTGCGAGTTCCCGATTTATATTGGTTTTAAAAATTATCTAATCAGATAGAGAATTTAATTTGCTTAAATATGGTGACTTCAATAGATGCCGACTCGGTCTTGTTTTTTAGTAATATTCTATTGAATGTTACAGTGAGACCTTTAGCAGGAAGGACGCTAATACATTCCAGACCAGAAAAATGTAGCTTACAACATCAAAACTGCAATAAAACATGCATATCTGGAAAGAAAATTGAATTTTGATTTCAAAAAAGTCCTTTTGCACGCCAACCTCCGACAGTTTTACCAAATATTGTTGTTTTTGTTCAGGACTGTTCAGTTTCTAAAAAAACTAAGTTTCATATTCGGAAGCCAATTGCCAAATTTCCCGATTTAGATGATCTTTGATATTTTGATATGTTATAATGTGAGTATTTTTTATTATTTTAGTGATTCATTTAGATGCCGACTCGGTCTTGTTTTCAAAAAATATTACATTTAGTGGGACAGGGTGACCAAGGACACCAATGGCGGTTGTGTCTTCAACATCAACTAAATACAGTTTCAAATGTTTAAAAGCCAACAAAACACACATAATCTGAAAGATATTTCAATTTTGATATTTGTTGACCATATTTTAAGCCCCACATCACTGAAATTACTCGACAATTCAGGGTGGAGCATTGGCAGGTCCGGTAGGCTGAACAGCTCAGAACCATAATAATTTCGAAATTCAATGAAAGAGTGTCGGCCTCTGATATTACTTTTTATCCTTCAATTTTTATTTTTGATTGTGAAAAATTAATTTCGTCCATGAACAATCTTTGCATTTTAAGATTTATAATTTTTGAAATGTCGGAGATAGCCAACAATTTATTTTCGTTAATGCTTCACAGGTTCATACATGACGTGCTCTGTGATCATAAATCAAAAATATATATACAAACTATAAAACTCATTGAAATCTGTTGCTTGGTTCTCTTTTTTAGACTTAAAAGGTCAGCTGAAAATAGTGGTCAAAATACCTTAGTGTTGTAATTTCGAACCGGTTTTACCTAGTTCTCTATATACCGTGTGATGAGTAATAATGCCACTACCATTAATCTTCATGTTTATCCCCTTAGAGACCTCTTGACTTGAAGGGAGGTAGACGCTAGTAATCGGAATCAATCACAGTTATGGCGCAGCTTTGTGATGCAATTACGGCGCAGCTGGCGCGGCCGTGATGACGCGGCTGTTACGAGGGGTGCGCATTCATGTCGCTCTAAAAACACACAGAGTGGTGTGCTGTTTGATATGACCCAGCCGGAGAACAGGGGTGAGGACACGTCACTTTTTTGGGATACTGATTTCTGGTTAGCGTCATGAATGGTTGCCATGCTTGTTCCGAGGAGATACCTACTATCAAAATGTCTTTCGCCTGGTGTGGTATTTTTATGCTGCCATGCTGCAGGGTATCCCTGTGAGGGTAACCCAATGTACGCCGGTTACGTTCGCCGACAGTAAATTTTTATAAGAACTTAAGCTAGTGTGCCAAGTTTGCGGCTTTGCCGACCAAATCATCAATATATGACTGAGGACGCGTCTCTATTCCGGCTTCAATGCTTCATTTTGTTCCAACTATATGAGTACCGTTGCGCCAGGAATAGGTATAAGAAGTAGGTACTATATTTGTGATCTGTCGTCAAATTCTAAGCGAATGGACTTATATTGCAAGTATATCATTTGCCTGCATCCCCAACCCGCATGACCTTGCCATTGGCGGGATCGTTTCCGTCTTGGCACCACTCCAGTCCGCCAATGCGCCGACACGCGGGGGGGGGGGGGCTGGCGCCTGGGGGGGGGGCACCGTATCTGTGTCTGGGACGCACCCCAGACTGCTCTAAACCGCCGGGGCGGCTAATAGAGCGCGATTGGCCGCTTCCTCAGGGGAGAGACGTGAATGGCCCGGAACTCAATTGAACGGAACAGCCTCACAGTGGCGGAGAAGGTAGAGCGATAAGTTCGGAAACTTGAAACGGGGCATGAGGTCACTAGCTAGCAGCACATTTATATTTTTGCTGTCCCTTTGCCTATGTCTTGTGCATAAAAAGTAGCCTCAGATGTATTCCCTATCATTTGGTTACGGAGCGAGCGAAGCGAGCGTAGTCTTTCCTTAGATTAACGGAAATTTCTGAGTATGAGCGGCCGGCCGTGCGGACGCTTTTGCGAGGCTTATATCTCAACAACCACTTGACCGATTTACACGTTTTTTTGTAGGGTAGCTTCATTCCTTCTACCAAGTATTGGACTATTCCCGATGCATGTGGGTGACCCCTTATGCACGTGCCACGTGCAAAACGAAGAGGTGTCAGTTTTGTAATTGTTGCAATATCTCGGTAACTACTTGGCCGATTGCGCTGAAAGTGGGCATGTAGGTAGGCACCCACTAGGCACTGCATATCCATGTGCCAGAGTTGGAGTGCTGCTGCACGTGCGCACGTGCAGGGGTCGTTTCCAGATCTCGAGAACGGCTGGACCGATGGCGCTCAAATTTGGTCCACGGTTAGGGACCAGTTAGTGGGGTGCCGTGCACAACTCAGTTGGGACCCATTTTGCACGTGCGCACGTGCAGGGTGCCGCTTCCAGATCTCGAGAACGGCTGGGCCGATTGTGCTCAAATTTGGCACATCGCTAGAGACCGGTTAGTAGGGTGCCGTGCACAAGTCAGTTGGAGGTACCCCCTCGAAATTTCGCACGTGCAAGGCTCACCCTCTCGCTCGCTCCGTTAGTCGCCCCAAAAGGCGCTATACTGGTGATTACGGAGCGAGCGAAGCGAGCGGAGTCTCATACTGAATTAAGGGAAAATCCTGAGTATGAGCGGCCGGCCGGCCGGCCGGCCGGCCGGCCGTGGGGACGCTCTTCAAAAGCTAATATCTTAGGAACGGGACATCCGATTGACAAGCGGTCTTCTTTACTGAATGTCACTTGGACGTAAAAGTTCTGTGGTGTGATGGCCACCATGCGTTCTTGCCAACCACCGCACGTGGCGCGTGGTAAAGTTGGACATTTTTTAAGAACCCCCAAAATTGCAACCTCAATGACGGCACAACGGTTGGGCCGATTGAATTGAAACTCGGTACACAGTTAGGTCTCCATCAGATAAATCATCTGCATGTGTTAAGGTTGGGGTGCTACAGCACGTGCGCACGTGCAGGGGGCGCTCCCAGATCTCGAGAACGGCTGGGCCGATTGTGCTCAAATTTGGTACACGGTTGGGGACCAGTTAGTAGGGTGCCGTGCAAAAGTCAGTTTGGACCCCGCTTGCACGTGCGCACGTGCAGTGTGCCGCTTCCAGATCTCGAGAACGGCTAGGCCGATTGCGCTGAAATTTGGCACATCGCTAAAGACCGGTTAGTAGGGTGCAGTGCACAAGTTAGTTGGAGGTACCCCCTCGCAATTTCGCACGTGCAAGGCCCATCCTCTCGCTCGCTCCGTTGGTCGCCCAAAAGGCGTTTTACTGGTAAGATTTACGTCTACGTTCCATGACCATATATACTTAATTGTTTAATGCATATTTCTTTGAATATAGCTATCACAACTAGCTTGATATGTGTCGGCCCTATTCCTATTATTCGTTTTTGTGAAACATTTTAGACCAATAGGGGTAAAATGACGAGGCGAGTAGTACTCAACGCTCCCACACTGCCCTGTTATGGAAAAAACTGATAGTCTGTCAAATGCAGAACAAATAAACAAATAAATAAATGATTTAACAACAACATTTCGGAAAAGCGTAGCTTTGTTTTCGGCAATAATAATGGGTCAATAATAGGTCAATAATAATGTATACGAACAAGCTCCTATTGCCTAAGTGATACAGTACCAGGAAAATTGCGAGTGACGAGAGCTAGCGACAACATACCATGAGCCCTACACCAGGCACTAATTTGTCGCATCTCCCACCACCCTTCCGTTGACGCCGATGATCCGCTCCATATCTATAGAAGTATCTTTCGACGCTCCATTTCATCTGTTGACAGCTCCGCGGGTTCGAGTCGAACACTACCAGTCGCGGGGCGGTCGACAATGGGACCGTCAAGAATACACCCACCGACGAGTTCTTCCAGTGAGTACCCACTATGTGCAATCCGCAATGTGTACTGTTTTCTGAACGGAAAATGCACATAAGAGCTGAAGAATGCAGAATGAACACTGAACAGTACGTACGTTTTGCTTTGTTTAGGAATGTTTCGTTCTTACCTTGCATTACCCAATAATGTCAATTACACATGTGGAACGAATCGCAAACCGAATACCGAAGTCCGAACAAATCAATACCTAATCATAGTATTGAAAGCAAGTGCAACTTTGCAATAAATGTAGAGCAGCTTATACACCAGAAAGACTTTGAAAGTTCTGAAAGTAATTCTATCTACCAGCCAAAACGGCATTGATGATAGATGTTATCACGTGGGTATATTATTTAGTGTCACATCAAGACGGACGTCTAGCCTCGTGTAACTAGAGGTCATTGATTGCCGACGGTGCAGGGCTGGGCCTCGTTTGTGCTTACAGCCAGCAGACCGATCGAGCTGTGGAAAATTACCAGCTGACGTGGTCGGCGGACCCTTCACCCCCTACCCCCACCCCATCCAACGCTCCCCCTCCCCACCGTCTTGAACTACCGAACGTTGGGGGGGGGGGGGTGTTCACTCAGTTTATTTTGGCACAACCTTACCCATGAACAGATATAGGCGCCCGGGGAGAACTGGCTGTTTTCACTAAATTTTGGCCGGTAGCCGATAGCTCGTGTGAAGTTGTAAATGCATACCTCAGCCAGGGTTCATGGACGCATGCCAGGCGCGTGTCTGGAGGGCGAAATCGGCCGCTAGACCGGTGGGGTTTGCGAACCCAGTCGACATCTATTAGGCTCGGACATGAACCCAGTCAACCGGTGTAGTCGGCGGGAGGCGGTGCGGAAAATGACCGATGGTTAGCAAATAGCAATACCAAACAGCAGAAATGCCACTTGGGTGCAGAAATTGATAAAGGACTTCGCCTGGCATGTTTCGTGGGGAGCGGGGAGCAAAAAATCAATCCCTTGCAGCCTGCACCCATTGATCTTTTCAGTCAGTCGATGTTAAATTGATGGATAAATAGGTACTTGCCTCTGCGCTGGGAGTCTTGACAAACTGAAAATGAGACTTGTTTGCATGTATAGGTAAGACCCTTTTTCCTGATCTTCTGCATGAAGTAGCTACCATGCACCGTCATTCCTGGTCCATTGGCGCGGATGAATTCCAGTCGAAGCTGTAGATACTCGCCCACAGTACACAGAGAAACATGTCAATCACTGCAAGTGATTGCACTCACAATTTTCGCTCACGACTGTCTGATCACGGGTTCTTTTCAGCAACTTCATGCTGCAGATTACCGATTCAGTGGAGGATCAGGGCACTGTCGTCTGGCAGCTGGCGCTTTGCTCGTGCATCGCCTGGGTCATTGTCTACTTCTGCATCTTCCGCGGCGTCAAACTCGTCGGAAAAGTGAGCCTCCGTTAAAATGGATAATGCTAAATCGATAAGAAAGTTAACATTTAATTGCTTGAATGATCTTGCAGATACTCGTATCATAGGACGATAAGCGGCTATCGGTTACATTGGCCGTGAATTCATCGTACCGCTAGAGTTATTAATGGATTATCATTGTCTATTTTTTTTTGCAAGTTGTCATTAGATTGTTTTAGCAAGTGTGCGAAGGTAACACGTTTCAGGTAGCATTCCTTACTCTCGCATTATAAAGCCAACCACAATAATCCACTATATAACTTGGTTTCATTCCATTTTTGCTCGTGGCTGTGGAATGCTAGCGTTCATTGCCTAGCCCTAGTGTATGAATATGTGTGGCCGTGCTGGTTGACCGTTAGTCCGTGGGTGCATTCATATTCGTGGACATTTACGTGGTCTGATGAGCGATGAATCCGAATCGTCGCCTTCGCCCAGTGGGTGTATCGACCGCCTCCATTTGTGTTAGTGGTCCTGCCCAGACCTTGTGTGTGGCCCGCCAACCATCGATTGAGGGCGGCGTGCCTGCAAAATATTATATGAGCATAAAGGGAGCTCGGCCTGTCTACTGTTTTCGTGTGCATAGCAACAGACACATTCCGTATCGCGCACGACGTGTGATAGCTGTTTAAATTCGTGAATATGTGATGTGCTTTGAAATATATTTTTTAAAAGACATGCTGCCTGTACGCCCATACCCTAACATATGTACAGGCCACCGCTAAAGTAATGTAGGGTTTTACCAATCTCAACGGTTGGCTTTGACTGGCGATTGTTTAATGCGGAGTGATCGAAAAGAAGATGTCAATAGCTAAAGTTGCAGCTGCAAGGGTGATGATACATATAAGCTACATTCAAAGTTTCATTGTAGTCTGGCTAATCGTTCCTAAGCTTCAGAAGCAGAACATACCCATGACTGAAACCCCACATTACTTCTGCTGTGGACTGTACATTACATCAGGTATAAGTCGAGCCGTCTGAAGCAGAGTCGCCTTCTGTCGCCAGGTGGTCTACTTTACAGCCACCTTCCCGTTCGTCATGCTGTTCGTGCTGTTCGTGCGCGGCGTCACCCTGCCCGGAGCCGTGGACGGCATCCTTTTCTACCTGACGCCCAACTTCAGCAAGCTCGGCGAGTTCAAGGTACGCGAGGTCGCTCTCTCAGTTCATTGTCCTGATTTGATTTCAACAACCAGAATGCTAATGCAGCACGACCGCTTAGTAAAGTTGAATCGCATTTGGTGCAGCTGTGTAGGAAAGTCTTCGAATTCTTTGACGCCAATGATCTTTCGGTTCTGCAGGTGTGGGCTGACGCCGCCGTCCAGATCTTCTACTCGCTCGGCCCCGGCTGGGGAGGCCTCATCATGATGTCCTCATTCAATCGCTTCAGGAACGACGCCAAGTTGTGAGTTATTGATCGTTTGACCACACACGTGGACGTGGCGATCATTTCTAGCTCAAATGGTTAGGTTACATGGGTCATTGTTGAATCATTCATACACCACTTTCATTTAAATGCTACAGATGTTATCAACCACTGAACGCTTAGATATTGCAATTTCAAAGGGAAGGAAATTCGACGTATTACTTTTACAGCGTAATTTAGTTTGATATAGATCAGCCTGCGTCTTCCGAGAGACATTCTTGTCGGCAAAAATAATGAATCACTTTGATTACTAAGCTAAGGATAGGAACACACATAGACCTCTGTAGGTCTATGGAACACATATTCCGGTATTTAATTAGTAACTACGATACCTTTCTCCGGAGTTACCTTTCTCTGGCACTTTTTGTCCAAGAGATACATTTCTACCGTGTTGCCTATCTCTTACCAATTGCAGTCTCCAGTTCCAACGAATTCGTCTGTGCCGTCGTACTGTCGTGTATTGCGGTACAGCAGTCAGCATCTCACTTTGGATTTCTTAGCTCGCATTTGCTTTGCGACCGCTTTCAAGGCGAGATGGGGGAGGACGTTCAAGGCGCTATTCCGTTTTTTGTTGTGTGTGGGGGGGGGGGGAGGGTTCCTACTAAACTAATATTGATTCCAATCATTACCAAGCTTTTGTTTACACCCTGTGAAGAAAGCCCGGCCATGTTTTAGTTGGGCAAAATCCCGTCGGAGTATCGTGTTGTTTGAGCTTCAACTGCCCAAGAATAAAAACGCAACAATGAATATCGCTTTCTCTGTGTTCCAGTGATGCAATCGTGGTTCCTGTGCTGAACTGCTTTACCAGCTTTTTCGCCGGCTTCGTGGTGTTCTCTGTACTTGGATTCATGTCCCACCAGACCGGTGTCCCCATTGAGAAGGTGGCAACTGGAGGTGAGACAAACTAAGACCTCAAGCGAGGGAACGTTCTGTTCCCAACAAGTGGATTAATTGTACACTCATGACTTTGAACTTGTATCAGATGATCTGCTCTTGGCTCTGCCCGGGTAACTGTCGCTTCTCGAGTATAACAACGTTCTGCTAAACGGGCTATCCCAAATCCCAAGGACGGTAGAAACTGGCGACGCTTTTTGGCTTATACACTTGCTTATGTAGCTTGCTTATGTAGCTTGCTGCACCGTCCGGCCGAGCTGACTGGTCGCTCGCCGGTGCGTCCGGCAGGCCCCAGCCTGGCGTTCGTCACGTACCCGGAGGCGTTGGCGCTGCTGCCGGCCGCGCCGTTCTGGGCCGTGCTCTTCTTCTTCATGCTGTTCCTGCTAGGCATCGACAGCGAATTCGTGCAAATTGAGACCGTGGTGTCGGCGCTGCTGGACGAGTTCCCTCAGTACAGGAAGCGCAAGTCGATCATCACACTTGGACTATGCGTCTGCATGGGTCTCATCTCACTGGCCTGTGTGACCCAGGTTAGAGACCAATGGGTGGTGGTCTTCATTGACATACTCAATGAATGTTTTTCTCATTCAACTGTTGAGCTGTAGCTGTGATCTGGATTGTAATTACGTTAGAATTATAGTGTGTCACCGTTGTTTTGCGCTGAATTGCGAGTTAGTACTGTATGATGTCTCGACTCAAACGTGCATTTCGACAGATACCTAGGGCGTGTTGATATGAGCCTTTTGGTTCTACAGCATCCTTATCAGTTCAGTTCCTAATTCTATATTTTTTCTCCTTTACTACTCACTCTCTTTTCCTTCCATCTCCATTTTTTTTCTCTCAACCACTATCTAACTCCCCTCTATTTTCAGGGTGGAATGTACGTTCTTCAAATTCTCGATTGGTATTGCGCCAGTATGTCTGTGATTCTGGTCTGCATCTGCGAGTGCCTGGCATTCTGCTGGATCTACGGTAAGCAAACACATTGCCTTTAACAATAACATCGTTTTTGCCAATTTTACCTGCTTACGTGGGCTTCCTTTGAGGTGTAACTCAACTGATGTGTAAATGTTTCATGGAACGTATTTGTTGCTGTTTATATTCATATTTATCGTTATACGCGAATCGCGATATCTAACCGGTTTTCGTTTTATTATTATTTCGATTGATATGCTAAAGTTTACACACAAAAAAAAAAATGTTTAAGTGGTTGGGCACCTTTAAATGTGCCTCTCACAAGTCAGGGCTGGGAGTGAAACCACTAAACACACTGTTTAAACAAAAGTCACAATCGCATACCATGTTCCTCTCGAGTGAGGCGAGGTGTAAACAAAGCCCCATGGTGCCAGAGACGTGAGACGGGCTATGATCCCAGTGTTTCTTGTCATGCTGAGGCCCAATGTCAGCCATTCGCACATGAAAGCCGCCGCACACACAGCGACGACACGGCCTGTGCCATTGAATGCTGCGTCATTTAGGCGGGGACCTTGTAACGTAGTGGCTACAGTGACGTTGCAAGTTGAGGCATTGTAGTTTTATTTTGCACAGTATGCGCAACATTCATGTGCATTGTGACTGAGGATGCAGCGAAGTATTTCCGTCATACGTTTACCGTACATCATTAAATGATGACTATCTAGCTGTTCCTATCCACACTCATGCCCTTTTTCTTATTGTTTTGCAAATAATCAATATTAGATATTAAAGGAAATAAATAGATCCAAGGAAAACAAACAAGCGACTGTAACACACAATTGGACGCCGAAACTGAACTCACAAAACATAGCTTTCGGAGCAAAACGCTTTTATTGTGACTGCTACGTCCCACATTTTTTAATCGAGTCGGTGATGCTAAAACCCGGAACCCCACGCTGTTTTGCTGATACGCCCCAACGCAGTGGCCCAGTGACCCGTTTACTTCTTCACGTGCAGGCTCGGGAAAATTGTGCCGAGACGTGGAGTTCATGGTACAGAAGCCCGTAGGCTTCTGGTGGCGGCTGTGCTGGAACTTCGTCACACCGATAGTGCTCGTGGTAAGAAAATATACATTCACACGTGCTAGTTCTTTGTGGCTTACAATACAACAGCTCTTTATTTATGTATTCGTTCGGAATGACCGTATTGGTAATGGTGTCACCATTTGACCCACAGCACTTCGACGTTATATCATGCTGCGTCGGTTTCTTAGTATGCCGATGTCTATTTATTGGTCATTTTATGAGACTTGACACTTTGGGGCAATGTGATGACGTGCTACATGGTCCCAGTGTTTGGGAACAGCTGAGTGCACTCAAAAGAGTATGATATTAATCATGGTATCGTAGCGTAGGAACGCAGCTACTACATTGATGCTGATGCTAAACAAAGTCCAGAGAGACAGCACACCATTCACAACGAGGCCGTTGTTACTGCGCAAGTGCCGGGTCGCGTTCCGTGTAAAAAATTGTTTATTGAACGTCGTCTCTATCATAGAAATGATTGTGTGACCAATCCTTTGATCGCTGTTTCGTGCGTTTTGTTAATGATTGTGGACTTCCGTAAAACTCCTTTTCTGTTTTTTTTTTCTTCTCATCTCTTTCAACGTCGGTTCGCTTCGCATTCTGACTATCGTCTTTGACGCTCCTTAACCTTGTTTCACTTTCGTCGTTGTCTCACATTCATATCACACCATTACGGCTCACTTTCGTCTCTCTAGCTCATCTCACTCCGCCCATTCCGCGCCCATCTCACCCTCGCCTCACATTCTTACTTCCTGCACTTCTCACTTTATATCTCTTGCACCTTCGTCTTTCTCCCATCACGCGCCAGTCTCTCACTCACTCACTCACTCACTCACTCTGTCTCTGTATCTGTCTCTGTCTCTCTCTTTCTCTCTCTCTCTCTCTCTCTCTCTCTCTCTCTCTCTCTCTCTCTCTCTCTCTCTCTCTCTCTCTCTCTCACTTACTCACTCTCTCTCCTCACGCTCTTCTGTCGCTCATCTCCCTCTCGTTTTCACCGACAGCTTATTTTCGTCACGACGATGGTGTTCAACACTCCGGTCAGCTACCGGGGTGTGGACTTCCCGCCGTGGGCACAGGGCGTCGGCTGGCTCTCTGCGCTCGTCTCTCTGCTCCTGATGCCCGGGTACGCCATCTACCTGCTGGCCGTGACACCGGGCTCTCTGAGCGAGCGGCTGCAAAAGTGCTGCAGGCCCACGGACGACTGGGGGCCGGCGCTGCCCGAGCACCGCCGCGAGTGGGACGAGTACAAGAGCAAACACCCGCCGCACCTGCTGCTGGCTGAGGGCACCTCCCTGTCCACGGTACTGCGGCGCAGAAAGGCCAACTACAACCCGTCGGAGGCGGCGGCGGCGACGGAGGCGGCCGCAGCGCCCCCTGCCACCGTCGACAGCGTGCTGTAGCGCCCGACGTCGGCGGCCGGCGTGTCGGGGGCGGCACCTGTCTTGCAGAGCTCGGTGTGGGGAGAGCGGTCCTCTGCTGTGGCTAATTTCCTCCACACCGGTCGAATATGAGAGGTGATACCTGAATTGGAGATCGCAGGCCATTTAGCGTAAAAGCACATATGTTTTGCTGTTGTATCGATTCATGCTCACTCAGCTGCGTATCGCTCGACTGCACCAAACACCAATACAATCACGTCGTAGATCTGAGTAAAATTACGAAAATTATATCTGTCTAACTGTTCGAATGATATGGCGTGCTTAGCAAACTCAATAGCCACTGGCTACTACGGAAAGTGTGCATTGTAATTTAGTAGGTAGTTCGTCGTTAGTAAGTAGACCTGTGGCGCATCGTCAATAACTTGGAGTGAACCTATTTACAAAACAAAACAGACGTGTGCCATTTTACATGTGTGCAGTGAATGTGCGGCTTTGCCGGTCTCAATTTTCCTTTTTCTGTGAATGTCTTATGTCGCCATCTTTGTTCCATCATTTCCATCTTCGTTTTTTTCTCTCCCCTTCCCTCAGTCTCTCTCTCTCTCTCTCTCTCTCTCTCTCTCTCTCTCTCTCTCTCTCTCTCTCTCTCTCTCTCTCTCTCTCTCTCTCTCTCTCTCTCTCTCTCTCTCTCTCTCTCTCTCTCTCTCTCTCTCTCTCTCTCTCTCTCTCTCTCTCTCTCTCTCTCTCTCTCCCATGGGGTGTATTGTCTTTCCGTCTCTCCTTTCGAGAAATCATCTGCCTCGCTGTCCGCTGATAATTTTCACTTCCCAGTTTGATTTTCGTGTGCGTCCATTCTTCACCTTGATAACCACTATATGTGAGGGAAGCTCACTTCTGCAACCATCGGACCAAATACAATGCAATGGCCGATATGTCCAGGACGATTGTGACGGTGACACTTAGCAGTTGCAGCGTTTTCAGATAACATTTTTAGCCCTCCTGCTAACTTTTTTTGAGCCATTGAGCCGTGTGCTGATATTGAAATGTGCTCTAATGTTGAACCGGTGTCTTGTTAAGTGCCGATACGCAGACTTTCAGACACGGATTACACCAAATACGTAATACATATTTAACCTGGAGCGAACGAGCATGTGTTTGTCTTTTGGCTCTGTATGTCGTGGACAGTAGCGGCGGAACACCTTGAATTAACCCTCGCCCGCACATGGGGGGGGGGGTGGTTGCCACCCCCCCCCCCAGGCAGTCTTTCTGCTCTGCACTCAACATTTTTAGAGCTAGAAGGCTGATTTTTTGTATAGCTGCTTGTCTATCCTTTCTTGATGTCCACTGAAAATTTCAAGTTTCTGTGATTTTTGGTTTCGGAGATATGACCTTGTTTTTTAGGTCATGTCATGACCCAAATGGCCAATTCTCAACATCTTACGTTTGCCATGGGCCTTGTGAGCTTTTGACACCCTGATTTCGGCCTTTTTTTGCCAGTCTTACCTCCCACCTATCACGGAACATGTTGTTCGACGATGTACAGGGGTCAAGGTCAGGGTCAAGGTCAACCTAGGTCATCTAAGATAATTGCGTTTTAGGCAAGCTGAATTTACTTTTTGTGAAGTTTTTTGACTGCATTTTTGGTAAAAGCTTCTCAGATCATGATTTCATGTGATATGGACCCAAAAACAATCGGTGCACACATCAGTATACACACAGACACACACAGACATACAAACACATATAGTTGACCTTGACCTAACTTGACCTGAAATGACCTCAGCAGCAAAATTCTGGTCGGATAGTGTGACAAAGAGGTTCTAGCTGGCTTGGCACCAGAAAACAGCATCGTCATCGGTATTTGATAAGCAGCGCACTTGATATCCAACGGTGACCCAAAACAGCAACATTTTTTAGTTTGACCTGACCTGGAAGGTCAATGACTGACCTGAGAAGGTAAAACTGGGTATCATTGGATTCGTCTCTTCCCAAAGAATCTTTTTGGTCTTTACTGCTAAGCTCTATCTCCAACAGGAACGAAATGGCGCGGGGGGGTGGCAACCACCCCCCCCATGTGCGTTCTAGGATGGGAAAATGGCATGTGCGGGCGAGGGTTAAGGGAGGGGGGGGGGGCACTGCCGACTTTTGGTCCCATTCTTTCCATGCAACGCCCATAGGGCTTATGTTAAAATGCCAAAATCAAAGGGGGCACGGTGCCCCGGTGCCCTCCCCGTCCCGCCGCCTATGGACGTGGAACTGAGGTTTTGTACAGCGAGAAATATGTATTACAGCAAAATTGCTGGAAAACGTTGGAATACCTTCATGCTTCAAAGCCTGCTTCAAAATCGTTACACTCTTTGCATGGTTTTGAGTCTGGGCATGTTATTTCTACTTTTTACGTTAGCTCAGGGTGTTGAAGGACTTCTTGAAATATTGTAGGAATAATTGCGTCTTGCAAACCATTTTACACATGTTATAAGTTAAACAAATTTAGGAATAGCAAAACAAAATCCCTATTTACTGCCTTGCGAGTATGCTCACATCAGAAACGCATCAGATTGACCAACAGGGAAAGGACTATTGCATGTTTTCGGTACTTCTATGAAATAGCCATCGATCTATAATGTGACCATCGTCGTCAAGGTGGCTTGCGATTGACACCTCATTAAACACCTGACAAAGTTATCAGATGGAGGCATGGCGTAACGATCAAGAACCTGACATGCTCTAGCCATGGCTCTAGCTGAGCACCTGAGGGTATTACCTGGAAGCCAGCATCCCCGCTCCGACTTCTTTTACCGATGAGTGCGTCGGGAGTGCGTACGAGCATGTTGCGCCGATGAAGGTCGCGTCGGGCGACAGTCGGGGTCGGGCAGGTCAGGCACAGTCAGGTCGTCAGTAAGCCGCCTCGGGTGGTCGCGAGTGACGGACACTGTCGGTTGAGGACAGTATGAGGTGTTGAACAGAAAGGTGTCGCTTAGAGTGAAAACACAAGGCTGGTTTATAGCTGGTGGGCCGCTGATAAAGTGAAGGATGCAGTAGTAGCTACTGAGCGTACGTCTGCATGGTAGTTGAATCGATTCATGTAGCAAAGAGCTGCTAATCTCTCGGTGTGCGTCATGTGGTGTTGAAGATAAATGGTTTCTCATACTTGCTAATGAGAGAAGCAGTTCGCCCAGCATCAAGTGAATAACCATCGCCAGTGATAGAAGAACAGGAGCGCGGTAACGGAAGCTGACAAGACTGCCGACTAACGGACAAAGCAAGGAGATCCCGTGGGGCTGCCGACCGATCGGGATCCACTCACGAAAGCTGGTAGGTACTTTCTTATGTTGCTCGATTACACACTAGGTATCCTTCAGATTCTCATCTAGTCTAATGTTCGTTCAATAAATTTGAGATAAGACTTTGTAGAAAAGAAGCAACCGTGTTTCCCTAAACGAAAGGAAGTCAACAGTACCTATACCCGATTTGAATAATCCAGCAAAATCGGTAGCTTCATAAGCCATGGGCTAATGATCCAAAAATCAAATTTGTTTATAAAAGAACGATCCCTGAAAAAAGACACTCGTTCCAAGTGATCATATTTTCTTTTTCAAAGACGCGTCGAGTGTGGTGATGACCTTTCTGCTGGGAAGCGCTCAAAGGTCGAGGTTGATAACGTCCACCGCAGTGTAGAGCAAAACGACCCCCTCTTGCGTTCATGCGATATTTGAAAACATTATCTCTCTGTTTCGGTGACGATTAGCAAACCAGTTGTCATTTTGGAAGCATCACCTATGTACGTCCTATCGTAATGTAGTTAGGAGTTTACTCTTTATGATGCGTTTCTGTCTTTTACCGTTTTGTACCGTCCTGAGCAATATGCATTTGCAGAAGCAAATTGACTTCCGTTTGTCATCACCAAGCCGTGAAACTGGGAGTAAACAGGTTGCTCATTTGCACTTTTCTTAGCATAAGAGTCGATGTGGGATGAGCTGTGCGGGAAATGCACAACAGAGGTACTCTCTAAACTGCATTCTCGATTTTATAGTTGTGAAAGAAGGCCTTCCGAGATGGTACGAAATTACACACACCCGTGTTACTGCTTGTTGTGATGCTCGTGCAATGAAAAATATTGGTGTTAAGAGGATGAAAATACACCCTCGGATAGGATAAAAACGTTTGCACTTCGATTATTTCTGCCTTGAATATCCCTTAAAAAAACTTCCAGATCATTGCTCTGCATACCTCTTTGCATCATCACACATGAACATCGCCATAGGTGTCGGGTTAGAGGTCCCTTGTTTTTCACTATAGACAGCATGCAATGCTCCGGAGTGATTGATGGAAAGAAACTGATAGTAAAACTTTGACTTTGATGCTAAACAGATTGCTATAAGGCTGTCAATATTTTATATTTCGCCTCCTTATTTTCGCGGCAATTATCAAGTTTCCATGTTGCTGTAAATTAGTAAAGCTATTGATCTTATATGTAGAAAATATATGTTTTCTTTAAAAAGACCAATTGTACACTGAGAAAACAGTGTCCCGATTTTCGGGCTCAGAGACCAGTTTTCGGGCTAATGTACCATATTCAAAACAGACAGCACATTTCGAGAATACTTTCTGAGCAACGCCACATGGGCTCATACGATCCCTTAAATCGGTATCATTGATCGCAGAAACAGAGCTCAGTCAGTACCCATTATCGGTGTCAAGCTCTAAAACTAGTCTCACTATGATACCAGTTTTCAGCCTGATCCCCATTTTCGAGCTCACCTGATTCCAGTTTGAGGGCTCAAATTGTGTGGTGAAGCCAATATTAGGGCTCACGTCATCGCTTTTCGGGGCTTTGGTAAAAGCTGGATTGCGTCAGCTGGCTGGCCAGCTGGCGACGCACGAAAGGTATTTAATTTTAGATATACCTAAGCGCGGTAGTAGGATGGACATAAATATTTCAAATGGCTTTAAATGAAAAATTGATTGGTAAATATTTATTCTTTTATATCTAGCATTGATATGTAAGAAGCTCTGCTAGCGCCACCATACGGCGCCAGCTGGCAAAAAATCCAGTTAAAGGGAGATTATGACCTTTTTCCACAAAATCTGAGTTAGGACCATTTTCTGACAAAACACAACAAGTTATAATGTAAATTAAAACCATTTTGCTCAATTCGGTACCTTGCCGCAAATATCTCAACTTGAAGTCACGTTAGCGGGGAGCGCTGAAAATGACCGTTGAATAAGTACTAACATCACTTTTTGGTACTTCCATATAATTTTGTAAAATGAGCGTATTCATTACATTTGATCTTCATCACATCTAGTTAGTTAATGGTCGTCTATAGTGCCTTCAAAAGATATTCATGGTTTGGGGGTGGTTTATGTCTAAATTTACGCAACTATTTTTCCTGTTCATCATCTGTCGCCATATGCTGCTATTTTAGTAGCAACGACTCAATTTTGAATCGGTCCCGCCGACTGCACAATAAAAGAAGATAGATACAACACTTTTGCGGCATCACTGAAAAACTTATGCAGTACTGTTATCAAAATTCTCATAACACCGTTCGACAAACCTGAAGTCTTTTTGAAATAAATATGCTTGTATTTTTCGCTTCAGGCTCTGAGGCCAAAATAATGAATTTCGTAGTCGCAATCGCAAGATTTGGCTGCGTTTCTGGCGCATGCCGTTCATTTGTGGCGCAAAATAATACTTGGAAACAAAGAAGAGTAGGCACTATGTACCCCCGAATTAGAATCTAATTAATTCTAAACCGAATTAACTCTAATTCAAATTAGAATCCTTACAACCAAGCAACGACAAGGCGATAACATAAACAAAAACCCAAGCGTCGCTGTTTGAAACAAAAGCGCCATATACTGCGACTTTTTTATAGAGAAGGACAACGCATTTCGGTGGGTGTTACAAGTACTGCAAGTACTGCTTCTTTTTGCAAAAATAAAAACCTTTTTCACATACGAAAATGTGCTAGGAAATTTTCATATTTTATAGAAACTACAGTAGAAATAGTATAGATGTCGAGTAATTTTTATTTAAGAAAAAAGAAAGCTCATTACAGGGCCTCGTCTAAGGAATTTTCACTGGGGGGGCCAGAGACTGAAGGAGCCAAACCTAGGGTACCCCCAAATCCTGTTTTC